GGCTGGAGCTCATGTGTGTGTGTGTGTGTGTGTGTGTGTGTGTGTGTGTGTGTGTGTGTGAGTCTGGGGATCTGGAGCTCATCAGTGTGTGTGTGTGTGTGTGTGTGTGTGTGTGTGTGTGTGTGTCTGGGGATCTGGAGCTCATCAGTGTGTGTGTGTGTGTGTGTGTGTGTGTGTGTGTGTGTGTGTCTGGGGATCTGGAGCTCATCAGTGTGTGTGTGCACAAATGTGCGCGCACATACGAGTGCGCGCCAGTGTCAGTGCACACACACCATGGTAGGCAGACAGTGTACAGTGACTTTGAATACGAGGGAAAACGGTGGAACCTTGGTAACCATGGTTGTTACAGCTCTTCACCGGGAGTTTTTGTGTGTCCATCAAGGTGGAGCAGGTACTCAGCGATGGGCGAACCATCATCACCTTCCCCAATGGAACCAGGAAGGAGATCAGTGCTGACAAGAAGACAGTCCTCATCAAGTTTTTCAATGGGGACATGAAGAAAGTCAAGCCCGACCAGAGAGTGGTGCGTACGGGCATACCTGAGTCATTTTAAAGTCAGAGCCACACAGTTACGAGCAAACCTTCCACAGATGCACGTCCATCTGTCCTCCTGGTGTCAGGAGATGGGGGAAGGCAGAAGGTCAGAACCTTCTTGTCAATGAGGGTTTTGTCCTTGGTGTTATGATGCAAGGGAGGTTCTTCATGGTCTCAGCTCACAGATTTGCAGGTCAAGCATATCCCACCAGCACCCCACCCGCCATTGTGAACTCTCCCTACCCAAATGATCTCCTAATGGCCTGAGATAACCTATGCGCCTAGGAAAACAGACCAGGAAATCTCGGGTGGCCTATTTAATGGTGACTTTCAGGAAGTCGCAGCCCAGTGGGGCAAAGAGATGTGTTGCTTCACATTGAGGGTCACAAATGTGCTTCTTAGGCAGACATGGTAGGAAGGATGGACTGATGTAGAGTGACAGATGGGTAGCAACCAGGGTGAGTTAGGAGAGAGAATAGGACTCAGTGTAGGCTGGGAGGGAGAATCCCCTGCTTTGACTTTTACTCAGTGCTGGTGACATCACAGAGGCAGACGCCTCTCTCCAGGGGTCTGTCCAGAAGCTGCTGTTTCCTTCCCTGTCTCCTGATCGGCCAAGGGGAAACATGATGCCAGAGTCAGGAGTACTCCCTACATCCATCTGGCTTGGGGCATGTTGCTAATATAAAGAGAATGCTTTAAAATCACAAAGCACAGAGCCCTCTTTCCTAGTTTTCTTTCTATTGCTGTAATAAACAGCATGACCAAAAACAACCTGGGAAGGAAAGGGTTTATTTGGCTTACATGTCCTGGCTTACATGTCCCCATCGCAATCACTCACTGAGAGAAGTCATCACCAGAAGCTGAAAGCAGGAATTTAAGTGGCCATGGAGGAACACTGCTTACTGGCTTGCTTCCCAAAGCTTGCTCAGCTTGTTTTTTATACAAGCCAGAACTACTTGCTCAGGTGTGGCACCACCTACACAGTGGTCTAGACCCTTCCACATTAATCGTTAGTTAAGAAAACTCCCCCATAGGCTTGCCTACAGGGCAATCTGATGGAGGGGTCTTCTCAACTAATGTTCCCTCTTCCCAAGTGACTCTTGCTTGTGCCAGGTTGACAGAAGCTGCCCAAAAATGCAACCCAGACTCAGAGTCACAGATTTCCCAATAATATGACTTTGGTGGATGTAGAGAGATGTCTCTGTCTCAGAGGATCAATGTGGTGTGGCCACGCAGGAATGTGAATTAGGAGTAGAGCAGTGCCTTTCTTATGCATTCTTACTTTTCAAACAAATACCTCCTGGCTGTGGTTTTTAAATGGGACTGAGCATCAGGGACACTTGTCCCCAGCCCCATTGCCTGTCCCCAGCCCCATCATCGTTACAAATATTGTTCCTGCTCCCTCTCTCTTCCTCCCTGGAAACGCCCAGGTCAACTGGCAGTTCCGTGAATGTCTGAGGCACTTGGGAGAACCTGGCCACTACTCCAAAAACTGTGGGGTTCATGGGATACTGGGACTCACGGCCCATGTACCGCTCCCAGACCTCACCAGCTACAGAACCCATAAGGCATGATGGCCCAATAAGTCATGCATTATTAGCGCATGCTCAGGAACAAAACTGAGGGCAAAGCGGCATCCTACAATCTCTCTATAACCAAGTCTGTCATTTCTGGGGTGTGAGTGACAAACTCCACTTCCTGTGTTCCCCAACTGTGGAAGTCCCCACAGAACTCACCTATGGGAAGTACTCAATCAGAGTCAGTTGTGGCTAACATAGCAACATTAGGGGAACTGCCTGCCTCCCAGCGTGGGTTACCTGTTCTTCACAGATATATTACTACGCGGATGCTCAGACTACGCACACAACCTACCCAGATGGTGTCGAAGTCGTGCAGTTTCCGAACAAGTGGACCGGTGAGAAGCTTCACCCTGTACCTGCTGGCTCATCGCCTTGTTTGCCTGTGTTGGAGATGGTAGGGTGCATGAGCCATCATGGGAAGGGGCAGCAGACATCCAGCCTTTAGATTCACCAAAGAAAGAAGAAAGCAGGCTGCCCAACTAGATTTTAATGGTGCATTTTTTTAATTAGAAATCATTCCATGAAGTACATGGGGCAAAATTATACCCTAAGAATCACTTTTAGTTTTCCTGAAATTCATTGAACTAGATGCCCTGGATTTTGTCTGGCACTCCTATATTATTAAATTCAAGGATGTTCTCAGCTATTTCTGTAAACATTGCCTGCCCGCCATTCCTGTCTCCCTAGCCCTCTAACGGCAGGTACAACATGCCACCCATGGCCCTCTCATCTCTGAATATATTATATTGTGTTTTATATCCATTACGTTTGGGTAAATTCTTTAGAACCGCCCTCTTTATTGTCCTTCTTGGCTTGATGATCTCCTTCAGGTCCTTTTCAGGTCTACCTAGTGTGTCCGCTAATACCACCCTTTTCTGGTCTTCGTCTCCTTCCCCATGAATTCTCCAGTTACTCTACACAGAGTTGCCTCACCATCTTGTTCTGGACAGCCTAACCCAGACATGGAGTTCAGTGTGGCACTAATCACAGCTGAGCCCCAGTAGCACCACATCCCCCCCCACTTTTCCAGTTTGTGCTGTGGGGACAGATTTGGTGGCAATCCTAGGGAACCCATGTTGGAGCTGCCCTTCTGGAAAGTGCATTTGTTTCTTCCAGCTGCCCAGGCATCATAGCCTGAGATCACTTCATGTTAGTTTCTAGCACAGGTGTATCACTTTTTCATCATCACTAAGTCGAAAAATCCACCAACTGTTGGGCCCTAAGAGACTGGCTCCACCACGGCCAAACCTTACCTAAAATTGAATCAGCAGGGCATCGGGTGATACGGCTGCCAATCCTGACTACAAACTCCTCTGATGAGAAAATGATCTTTCTCGTTATTATTTTAGATTATTTAGATTCAACATAGCTTCCAAACACATTCGGCATAACACGTACTTTAAACAAATGTATCCTGCAGAAAAATTCTACCCGGATGGCTCGAAGAAAACCGTGTTTCCTGATGGGACCGTGAAGCAACTGAAGGATGGATGTGAGGAGACTGTGTTCCCTGATGGGACACACGTGATAGTGAAAAGGTCAGCACCCCACCAGACAGTGTGAGCTGAGACTCCACCCCTGGGCTTTGTGTTCTACAACATCCCTGTAGCCATTTAGATGTTTGCAAATGTTCAAGCATTCATTTATATATAATAACAAGGGGGGCTGGAGAAGTGGCTCAGAGATTAAGAGCACTGGCTGTTCTTGGAAAGCACCCACATGACAGCTCAAAACCATCTGTAACTCCAGTTCCAGGGGACCCATTGGCCTCCCATGACTTCCATGGGCACCAGACACTCATGTCATTTGCAGATATACATGCAGGCAAACACTCATACATATCAAATACATACTTTAAAAAACAACTATGATGCCAGAAAATAATGCCATTGGACCTACAAGAGTTTTTGTGCCCTCAGTTCAAATCTCTTTAGAGAGAATATGAGTTTAGACATAGAATTTCTGGGGCAGTCATGTGCCCCCAAATTGTGCTCAGTAATTGACTTCAGGGACAAAGGTAGTCCTGCAGTTTACATCATCAACTAATGTCACAGTCACCTAGGTTGACATCATCTCACTCCATATTTCAGGATGTAACCGTTGTTAGGTGACACATGTCTCACTCCTCTTAGGTAACACATGTCCCAGGATGTCTCACTGCTGTGAGGTAACACATGTCCATGTTTAGGTGACTGAAGCTGGCCCACCTTGAGTGTACGCCTTCAGCCTCCACCTCTTCAAAGCCGTGCTGTGTAGACGTGTGACTCTATTGCAGCATGCATAAGCAAGACTCTCAAATGCAACAAGAATGTGTTAAGTCACCATGCAGACAACAAGGTCCCCAGGGCCTTCAGTCATATCTGTCCAATAGCGTGGGCAAGAGTTCAATAAACTCAGCTTAGATGTCCCCAATATCCTCCTGACTATGGCGTGTCCTGGGCATGCTGCCTTCATGACCTCAAATTCTTCAGTTCCTCCAGTGTTGCTCCCCAATCTCAGATTCTGAGTTCAGGCCTCTGGGTCCCTGCTCCCTCACCCACCTCCTTCCCAAGCTCAGCCAGCATGGGCTTCTTCTGTCTTTTAAACCTGCTTTCCCTGGGAAGCCTCAAGTTCCTCCCTCAAGACAGACTGGGGAATCCAGGTGGTGTCATGGTATCACTCATCTCCATCTCCTCACACTCCCGTCGGCACCATTTACCAGAGTGTTTCTGTCCTACAGGAATGGAGACAAAATCATCATGTTCAGCAATGGACAAAAGGAAATCCACACAGCCAGGTTCAAGCGGAGGGAATTCCCCGATGGCACCACCAAGACGGTGTACTGCAACGGCTGCCAAGAGACGAAGTATGCCTCGGGGAGGGTCAGGGTCAAAGATGAGATGGGAACTGTCATCCTGGATTGGAAATAGAGCACCCACCAGACTCACTGTCAGGCATTAGGCTCCAGTTAAAGTTTTGACCAAAACAGACAAAAGAACCCACATTGGTCGATTCCCCTGACAGTCCTGGAGATCTCGCACATGGCAGGAGAAGAGAGGCATCCACATTGTAAAGAGAAAGACCATCTATCTAGCCACCATCTGGGGAAAGAGCCAGGAATGAGGCTCCCGGAAGCATGGCTTCCGGTCCTTGTCCAGAGTGCGGCGTCTTCTGTAAGTCTAGACCTGGAGCAGAGGATAAAAGAGAAGCAGAAGAGTAACCTGAGCGAGCACTGTCAGCTAATCCCCAACCCCTGCCTGCCTACCTGCCTGACTGGCAGCCTGCCTGCCTGCCTGCCTGCCTGCCTGCCTGCCTGCTTGCCTGCCTGCCGTCCGTCTGTCTGTCTGCCTGCCTGTCTGCCTGTCTGCCTGCCTGCCTGCCGTCTGTCTGTCGTCTTCTCCTCCTTTTTAGACTCCTCACAGTGGGATCCAGGGGGATGTATCCTCACTGGTGCTTGTTGTATTAGTAGACATTATTAAGCCACCTTGATGTGCCCAGATAGAGCCTCATGTGGCATTCTATCCCATTAATTTAAATAATTATGGTCTGTCAATCAACAAAGACATGAGTAAAAGCCCAGATAAAAACATAGAAACCACCTGGACCACGCCTCCTACTTGTCCCTGTGAATCTGCCTGATGCCCCCCTCCTTTGGTGGGAGCACCCCACTGCGCCCCACTCAGGGGAGGTTTCTCCCTAACGGGTACTCAGCAACCGAGTCTCAATAGACAGTTCCAGTCCCCTTTGACCACCCCATTCCAGCCCCTGCACAGGCGTGGGCTTGAGGCTGCAGACCCACTCACTGTAGAGGGGCTTGTCTTCTGATGGATGAGGAGTTCTGAGAATGTGGGTTTTTCTGTGTCCTCTCTCCACACTACTGCAAGGCAAGCAGATGCAAAAAGCACTTGCTGCAGGCTAGAAGACTGTGCCCAGTGGGTGTCTTCAGGAGGCAGGGGAGAGGAATGGCTGGCAGCAGCACTTCTGTCCTGTCCGTCTCCCCCCTTCTCCCTCCCCCCTTAGCTTTTGAAGTCAATGATAAGAAATTCCGAAGGCAGGTACACTTGCCTTCTGGGTGGCAGAGGATCTGCAAGGTAGGAACCAGATCTATTTTGGGTTCCTCCTGGGTTATGCAAGGCTTTGGAGTAGACAGTAAGACTCCATTGTTCCCTTAAATGTCGTGGGCGCTCGTCATGTATGTCTGGTAGGGTCTTTGCAGCTAGGGCCTGTCTCATCTCAGTGAGCCGTTAAATCCTTGTTGCCTGTGTAAGTCTGGGTGCTCCGGGATGCTGGATTCTGCATAGGGTTCAGTTAGCAAGCAGCTGATGATGCCCTGAAATGCTTTTGAAAATTGATGAGTCAGGAAAGAAACAAGGCTCACAGAAGCACGGCTTCCATAGTGCTGTGCAGACTGTGTCTTTTGCTGCCACACAGCCAGCTTTGCAGCTGTATGGGCCTACAGGGAGAGCCCACAGTGAGCCAGAACTTTGACACCAAGTTTGGGTCCAGTCTAAGCAAAGTGAGGGACTTTGGCTGCAGAGGATGAAACAGAACTCCACAGAGTTCTGGACATGTGGGCTGAAGAGATTTTTGACTCACCTCCTCTCCATGTTCCTCCCATTGATCCTTTGTCAACTTGACATACAAACATCACTATTAACCTTTCCTTTCTTATCTATTCCCAAGATCACACACAAACATCACTATCACAATATAAAATTTTTATCAATTTTAAAAGTCCCAAATTCAAACACTTTAAAATTCAGTATCTCTTAAATATCCAAAGACTTTTTTAGAAGTCTTTTAAAACCTAAAATCTCTTTTAAAATCAGTCTCTCAACTGTGAAATCTTGTAAAAAATCAAAAATAAGTTGAATACCCCCTTAATTCAAGAGGGAAGAACCAGGGCACAGTCACAATCTGAACTAAAGAAAACCAAACTCCAACAGCGTGAATAACTAATTCAATGTCCAGTGACTGGGGTCCACTCAAAATCTTCTGGATGCCTCCAAATGGCTTGCGTCACTTCCAGCTCCACCCTCTGCAGCACACACAGCTTGTCATCTAGACTCCAGCTGGCTCCACTCCACTGCTGCTGCTGTTCTTGGTGGTCATCCCATGGTCCTGGCATCTCCAAAAAGCTGGTGTCTTCTGCTGCAACTGGGATGCACTTTCACCAATGGCCTCTCCTGGGCTCTCTTCACGGGGCCAAGACTCAACTCTTTCCCTTCATGCCTTCAAAACCAGTACCACCTGGGTGACTCTTACACTGCCAATTTCAGATGCCAGCTGGAGGTAGAACCCTGGCCTCTGGAATCCAGCACTGACTCTCAGAAAACACTTCCCACAAGATTTCACCTCAACTACGCTGGTCTCTCCTTAACCACCGCTAATTTCCCAGCTGTAGCGGACCAACATCAAGTATCCCAGCAAAGGTTTCACTTGTGTAGTTCTGGTATCTTGTTAATCACAACTGACTCTTCAGCCCCAATAAACAAGAACCACAGAGCCTTAACTCAAAATAACTAATGGCACTAATGATATATATAGTCTTTAATCTTCCCTCTGAAACTTCACGAGCCAGGCCTCTGTTGTCTGTCTTCATCGCTTTCCATGCCAATCGCCCAAGCTCCCAGAGAGTAGCTCACCAAGCTCTCATTGCTGAATGGCTTTTCTAGCCCAAAGTTCCAAAGTCATTCCACACTCTTCCCCCAAACATGGTCAGGTCTGTCACAGCAATATCTTTTTTTCCTTTTTGTTCTTCTAACTGGGTAATTACAGTGGCCCTATCTTAGGACTCACTAATCTTTTTCCTACATATACGTTACTGAATTTTCCTGTGGGCACATTCCTTGGCTTCAGGTCTTCTGTCTAATTTTTTCCCATGGTTTATGTTATAATATTTAGCTTCTAATTTATATGCTGTTTTCTTAATCCCATCAGTCAACTATGGTTTCTTGTGATGTTATAGCTTGTTAGACTTTGAAGAAACTAGCTTCTCACTTCAGTTCTCACACACTGGTTTTAGCCAGCTGCTCTCAGGAGAGGTTGGAGTAGATGACATTGCTTCTGGGTGCAGGGCTGTGTGTGTGTGGTTGGGACTGGGTCACATGGCTGCTGTTGGGTATGTAGTAGAGACTGCTGTTTGCAGACCTGTTACGAAGGACTCTGGTGACTCTGAGTTCTGTTTGGCCACAGGATGGATTGAACTGTCTTCAGGGCCTTGGTCTATGGGCTGTCACTAAAATGAGGACCATCCTATAACATTGGGGTGGTGCTTCAGCGTCATGGACAGGCACACGTTCAAGTGGCTCCTGGGTTGACATGCCTGATTTCAGCTAGTCAAGAAGGGCTGAGGCCCATTTACAGGAAAATCTAAGACTCCCAGGATAATAAAGCAGGAAGTCACAAGGAGGAAGCTAGAGTGCCTTCCAGTCCTCAGACACAGCTGCTCTTCAGCTGAAGAGAGAAGCTGGCAGTGGAATCTTGAGACATTGGCAGTTCTTCAGGATAGAAGTTGGCAAGCCTGGCCAGGGCCTCAGATGGGTGTGTCTCCTGGCAGACCTCTGGGCAACCAGCAAAGACTAGAACTAGGCTCCAGGGTCCAGTCCAGCAAATTCAACCTGGGGCCCTGGATGGTGAGACTGTGTATGGTTCTTTGTGTAGGACTGACCCTAGAACAGCACACGGAGGAGACAGAGTAGAGCTGCAGAGCTCCTCAGGGTCTGTGTGGGATGGAGCCTACAGCCCTGTCCCAGAAGCACACAGATGAGACTCTCACCCATTGTCTGTGCTGTCAGAACTGTTTCCAAGACAGGTTGCACCCAACACAGCCTAGAGCCAAGCCAGGACCCCTTCAACATCTGTGGTGAAGTGGGGTTTGCATGCCTGTCGGTCTTCTCTAGGCCCTCCTGTGAACCGGTGGGCCTTCCAAGGCACCAGCTGGCACAATTCTCATAGACTCATGCAGTGGTGATGGCAGCAGGCTCACAGCCACACAGAGCTACAGGTTTTGTGGAATAGAATTGTTTGGGGGCCTGGAGTGTACGCTGCAGTCAATAGGTCTGTCCTCTGAGCATTGGGCCTTCCCTATGATGACAGTCCTCCTGAGTCTTGGGGCCAGCAATGTCTCACAAGCTCCCATGTGAATCCCAGGATTCCTCAAAAGCACTTTTGCCCACAGATATCTGAAGAATTCTTGTTGGGGGGACCTCTTTATTCTATTACTGTAATACACATCACATAAGCATTACCATTGGCACATTACTGTAATGCACATAAGTGTTACTAACCTGAGCACATTTAAGAAGCCATATGGTTATCCCAGCTATTTTGTGCTGGAGTGTCTCTGTCACCCAAAAGGAACACCACCACCCTTCTTCCCTTCAGCCCTGGAAACTCACCATCTGTGTGATGGTTCATGTTGTGTCAGCTTGACAGAACCAAGGAGACATCTGTCTGGGCAAAGCTGTTAGTACAGGGTCTGATTTAGGACGCAGAATCTATAAACGGTTGGGTTTCCTGTAATCCACTGCACTCCAAACAACTTTATGCTGATGACATGAGTGTATATGTGTGTGTGTGTGTGTGTGTGTGTGTGTGTGTGTGTAGTGTATGTATACTTGTGTACACACACGAGAACATGTGTGTAGAGGCCAGAGATCAACCTCAAGTGTTGTTCCTCAGGAACTGACCACCTTGTGTTTTGAGACAGTTATCTCTTGAACTGATACCTGGAGCTCACTGACTCAGCCAAGCTGGCTGGCCAGGGAGACCCAGGTTATCTGACTGCAGGAGCCCTTCCAGTGCTGGGATTGCAAGCATGCACAGTCAGTCACACCTGACTTCCTGTGTGGGTGCTGGGGATTAGATGTGGGTTCTCACTGAGCCATCTTCCTGCCCCCCCCAAATTAATTTCAACAAGAAATGTCTGATTAAAGATAAAAGATGATTCCTGTCATTTTTTTTTGTACTGTTTTACCTAAGAAACCCCTTCCGTCATGTTTTTCTGTTACAAGGAATAGGCAATTTGACTATAACTCTGAGTATGGTGCCTCTGAACTTAGAGGTGGTTACCGCTACACTGATAAACCTAACACAGGACAGAATCATGTGATCGGTGCTTGATGGAGCCATCCTCTCAGAACTGTGGTGCTTCTGTTCACACATCTGCACCCAGGAACAAGGATGTATACTAAAGGCACATGCTAAGGGCTCCACCCATCGTCTCCTCTGGGGTAGAAACCCTGAGTTTTCAGGTGTGTGGTGGTGGCACACACCTTTAATCCCAGCACCCAGGAAGCAGAGGCAGGCAGATCTCTGAGTTCATAGGACAAGCTGGTCTACAGATGAGTTCCAGGACAGCCAGGACTACACAGAGAAACCCTGTCTCAAAATAAATAAATAAATAAATAAATAAATAAATAAATGTGTCTAAAAAGAAGGAGAGCAAGGGATGAAAAACAAGAAATCCTTAGTTTTCAAAAATTTCGTCTCATTCCTCGGTTTTAGTTTTTACCACTTGAGAGTCGTTTATTCATTAGTTTTTGGAGCTCTTGAATTATTCTTTTGACATTTAATCCATTCCTGGATGCTCTAAAAGTAGCCTCATTGAAAGGGAAAATGAGAACAAAGTTGCCCGCACGGTCGTTTGGTGTGGAGCCAGCTTCTGGGAGGACACCCACAGGTCCCTTGGTCCTGTGGGGCTGCGACTGAGCTAAGGGTACTTTGGGGGAGAGCACCTTGCGAGGTGTGTGCCGAGCCCTGAGCCTTGGCTTGCTTTTGGTGGCTTCTCTTGTCAGAAGCACATGCTGCCTGTTCATCATTTCTCTCAGCTGGGAGGTCCGTGTGTGCTTGGGATCGGCGTCAACGGCTCTCCGTACAGAGGGGTTGGTATTACCGCACGCCCTGCTTGCAAACTGTATGAAAGACTTGCAGAGCTCAGGCTGTTGTCTCCTGGCAAAGGAGAGCCTGGAGCTGCCTGAGGAAGCTCTGCCCCACTTTCTATCCTCACTCCTTAGGCCGTTTAGGCAAATCAGTTCAATAATATCGTGGACAAGGCTTCTCTTTACAGAGACATCCGTGGAACAGTCCAAGGACAAAGCAGGGCTGTAGTTGACTTCTAGAAGCCATGGTTTCAGGTTGTCATCAATCAGGATGTCAAACCCAAAAAGCTCAAAGCAGTTGTAGGCCACGGGGACGGATGGAGCCATAGCCAGGACGGTGAGAATCACCATGTGGTTGATCTTCCGCCAGAGCAGCAGGTCGTCCACGTCCCAGTTGCGCAGGTAAGAGAAGAACCTGCTGAGGGTCCACTTGCAGCCCTGACCCACCACCTCTTTGATCTTCTGATACGAGGCCCCATCTTTGTTGATGCTGCTGTTGGTCAAGTGGGCATAAGAGTCTTCCAAATTCCTGAGGTCAAACTTCTCCGTGGCAAACCGCACCAACCCTTCCCGGTACATGTAAATAGTCAGAGGCCTGAAGCCGGTGACGCAGACATAGACTCGGAGGTCACACTTGTACCTCCCCACCAGCAAAGGGTTGCAGATGTACTTCTGCACAACATAGGTGCTGTTGAAGATGAGATCCCGGATGTCACTGAAGATGATTATGCCCCTTCCACGAGATAGCTTAGCCGGCTTGGAGATCCAGTAGGTGGGCTTGGTACCTAGTACTTGCTTCTCCTTGAAGTACTCAGCTATAAACTTGGTGTAGTCACTGGGCATGATAAACGTCAGGGGTGTGAACTCGTAGAGGGACCGGCCATAGAGCCTCCTCATATGTGCCAGGTGCTTTGCCAGGCAGTCCTTCCTGGTGAGGGTGATTGTCCCCGGGTGGTGGTTCAGTCTCTGCCAGGGCTTGACATTGATATGCTCAGCCATCCGGAAGGAGGACCTCCTCCAGTACAGATTCCAATCCTCCACATCCTGATGCTGCTCATCAAACTGGTCCCACCCGCGTTCCAGGAGGACGCTCTGCACAACCCTGGGAGTGCTCTCATCCACTCGGAACACCAGTGGCTTCAAGGTGGCCCTGGGGCCTTCCTCTTCCATCCTTCGAGGCTTTATCTTGTAAACATTGATCATGCAGACAGGGTTAGGCAATGGCTCCAGATGAGAGACGACTTCATGGTTCCCTCTGTCCCACCCTTGGGGCTCCTGCTTCTGTCCCTAGGGGCCCTGGCTCCTGCCACCTCCTCCCAGGCCCTGCCATCTCTCTACTTACCCGGATATTATGTCCCTTTAGTACCAGGTTAGAAACATTTGCAGTCACACCACCCAGACTCTGCAGAGTGTTCATTGTAGTCCTCTGCTGTGAGCAGCACTGTTGGGGTTAAGGGGGGACAGTAGTTAGTAACAAAAAAGAATATTGATTTTTTAATAGATAAATGAATTTAAACACTTTTTAAAAAATGATTGAGAGATTGGAGGGATGTGCCAGTCACTAAAGTGTTAGTCACATAAGCTTGAGGTCCTGAGTTTAGATCCCTAACACCCCCATAAAAACGGCAAGTACTAGGGTAGTAATTGCTGGACAGTCAACTTAACCTAACCAGTTAGATCCAGGTCTGCTGACTACACACCCACAAGAGTGTGCTCACCTTCACAGCCTGAGTGCACACAGACACCCACTCACAAGCAGAGACCGTTGCAACAATGCTATGTGATTCCCAGGAGTTTCCTCAGCCTGGAAGGGTAAGGGCAATAGGCCAGTTACCCAGTAGTTCTCCAAGTACCCACCTTAGCACAGGTGGCCACTGGCCATGCTCAGGGGCCATTCAGATAAGTGGGGATTTGTAGGAAAGCTACCAAAAACAAAGCAATGATAATGAGCTGGGCACTTAGGAGGCAGAGGCAAGTTCCAGGCTGGCCAGGGTTGAAACTTCCAGGGGAACCAAGGTCATTTTTGAGAAATCCATACCTGACAGTGAAGTCATGGTGTCTCTATGACCTAGAGAGGAGGAGACAAATGGCAAAGCCTCTCAGGGGAAGATAAACATTTAAAATGACTAAACAGGCTCCTTGAAATATCCAAGTTAAGGCCATTTTAGTGTGGTTTTGGCTTTTTGGGATTTTTTAAATATATATATATAATGTTAGCATCATTTGTGTCTAATTTATCACAAAGTAACATAACTAAGTTACTGGGTAGAAATTCTGTGGTGTTTAAGAACTTGTGATCCTTGAAAAGGGAGAGAATTTTGACAGATGATAAGAAATGGTGGAGGGCAGAAGGGAGGAAAAAGGAGAAGGGGAGGCAAGGAGGGAGAACAGTGGGGGTTACCTGGTGTGCTCACCCACCTTCTCTCCCAACTCAGAAACTGAGAGCTGCCCTCAATGGGATAGGGACTGTGTGTTTCCAAGCAACCTTCTTCACAAATGTGAGGTCCACTGTCATGTGTAGTTTGTCTCCGTATAACACCGAGGGCACTGGACTAGGAAAGACAGAATCGACACAGCAGCATGCATTCCAGTATCTCCACAACCTTGTCAAGGGACGGAGTAAGAGACCTGTGTGGCTGCTCCAGTTTGTAGTTATGTTTTTGAGCTGAATTTAGTGGTGTCGATAGGCATTTCAAGTTGTGTGCTGCGTGTGCGTGTGTCGTCGTGTGTGTTGGTGTGTGTGTGTGTGTGTGTGTGTGTGTGTGTGTGTGTTTATGGTGTATGTGTGTGGTGTGTGTGTATGTGTTTATGGTGTATGCATGTGATTTGTGTGTGTGTGTGGTGTATGTATGTGTGGGGTGGGGGATATGTATGGTGTATGTGTGTGTGGTGTTTCTGTGGTTATATGGTGTGTGGGTGTATGGTGTGTGTGGTGTGTGTGGAGGTGTGTATGGTGTATGTGTGTGTGTGGTGTGTGTGTTTCTGTGTGTTATATGGTGTGTGGGTATATGGTGTTTGTGTGTATGGTATGTGGGTATTTCTGTGCATATGGTGTGTGGGTGTATGGTGTTTGTGTGTATGGTATGTGGGTATTTCTGTGCATATGGTGTATGTGGTTTGTGTGTGTGTATATGGTATGCATGTGGGTGTGTATGGTGTGTGTGTATTATATATGTGCCTGTGTATATGTGGTGTTATGTTTGTGTATATGTTTTTGTGTATGGGGTGTATGGTGTGTGTATATGGTATATGTATGGTGCTTATATATATTGGATGTGTGTATGTGTGTGTGTTGTAAATTGTGGTGTGCATATACAAAAGGGGCCACAGTCATAATTGTGAGTGACACATTAAAGTTAAAAATACTTTCCTTTGGCAGAAAGTATAGCTTGGGGGCAGAGCAATTTCTTAGAATGGGCAAGCCCTGGGTTTGGCACCAGCATTCCACCCCAGTACTGTCCACCTCTAAGAAACAGGCATGCTTCCTACACTTGCTTGGTCATAAGTACTGTGAAGCCTAAGTTACGGTATGGTATGGGCCACGGCCATAGACCATAGTGTGGGCCATGGCTGTGTTGTGGTCATGATGTAGACTTGGTTTGTCTGGATCAGGTGTTCTAAGGGGAGCACAGGAACTGGTAACAGCAACCTCTGGGCTTTGAGGAAGGGACCCTTTAACTCAGAGGAACCATGGGACCCAGTGAAAAAGGCCCAACGCCCACAGGCAGATGTGCACTCTGTCTCCCTGATCAGAACAGCCACTCTTGGCACGTGTTCTCTTATTAGTAGGAACTTGCTTTTGTTTTTATCGGCTTCCCAGGAAGCTGAACACGGGGTTTGCACCATTTTGATGGCTGCAAATGCATCAAACTGCATCCTGGTCTTTTCAGTCAGAGCCAGAGCCTGGCAGCACAAGCAGTCAGAACGTGTCTGTCACAGATCTGTTGGACCAGCACATCCCTTGCTAGCATGCAGAGAAATCTGGGGATACCCCATTTCTTACGGTGTGACAGCATCTCACACCCTCTGTTGTGAGAAAAAAATCTGTGTTTTTATTTCATTTTGTTCCCAGTGGGATGAGTTCCAGTTCAGCCAGTGCAGCACAAGAAATCAAGCTCATTTGTACTGATCCCTTCAACTCAAGTAGAAAAAGATTCTCTCAGCACCCTAACCCAGTTCCCCAGATGGGTCCCACTGGAGGCCATACAGGTGGCACTGCGGGGCTCATATAGCTGCTGCTGGCTTGGTGCTGAAGGATCCCCTCCAGTGGATGTTTCTCTGCTGGAAGGATTGGGACAGGGTTGCAGAGTGTCCTTCCAGATATCTGCATGGTCCCCCACTGTCCTCTTGAGGTCCAGGGGCTTAGGAAGGCCATTTGGCTGCCTCACGAGGCCAGTTTGCTTTGTCCCTGCATCAGGTGGAGCACATGATGGAGCAAATGAGAAACCAGCAAGCCAGAGGAGGGGGAGAAGCACAGCTGATACAGCCTTCTGTGAGTTACCACAGTAAGCCATTTTGCACAGGTTTTTGGGTTTTTTTGGTTTTTTTTTTTTTTTTTTGGTTTTTTGTTTTGTTTTGTTTTGTTTTTGCATACGTGTGTTTGCATGTGTGGAGTCCTGAGGTTGATGCCACATGTCTTTCTCAACTGCTCTCCACCTTAGATACTGAGACTGGCTCTCTCACTGAAGCGGTGAGACCAGTTTCAGCTAGTCTGTCTAGCCAACTCCATCCTGAGATTCTCTGGCTCCTCTCCTGTGTGCTGGCGTTACAGGTGGGCTCCTACATTCCCCTCAGCTTTTACACGGCTTCTGGTAATCCAAAGCCTGGTCCTCGAGCTTGTGCAACAAGCACTTTACCCCCTGAGCCATCTCCCCAGACCCTGCACATTTTCCCACAGCAGCCACCAGCAAGCACTCCTGGGCACAATCGTCGTGTGACTCTGCACACCATTTCTGCTGCGGTTTCTCCTCTCTCTCTCTCTCTCTCGCTCTCTCTCTCTCTCTCTCTCCCTCCCGCCCTCCCTCCCCCCCCCTCCCCCCCTCTCTCTTCTCTCTCTCTCTGCACCTCTCCTACCTACGTGAGAAGCCAGGAGGCTGGCACCAAAGTTAACCCGAAACCCAAAGTTCAGAAGTAAATTCCATTCCTAGGCAGAGATGTTACAGACCCTAACGTTTACAAAGTACAACCCAGTCTTTCACCTCGCTTTTCCGTCATTAACTCTGTGTGTGTGTGTGTGTGTGTGTGTGTGTGTGTGTGTGTGTATCTGTTGTGAGTATGGTTGTTGCCATGTGTGCACGTTCTCGGTGTCTTGACTATGCCTCACACTGCTGCCACCATTCCTTCCTGCATGCCTCGCCAATATGGTGGACTGAAGCCCCTCTCAAACCGTGAGCTACAGTAAGCCTTCCTCCCTGAAGGTGTTCCTGTCATGTGTGCTGACCACAGGGATGCACTCAACACTCAACACTTCGCAAAAGTTTATTAGGAGTCAGTTCTCAGCTTGCTTGGGAACTAACTCCACAGGCTCCAAACATCGTTTTCCAACTACTGTGAGAAACTGCCAGAGGGGAACACTAAAAGGCACAACACCCTTATATCCACGGCCTTGTGACTCCCAGCCTGCATTTCTAGTGACTTCCTCTTGAGGGAGCCAGTTAGCAGGTCTACCAGGTGTGTGACTGCAAGAGGCCTGGCCTCATTGCCAGTACACACTGCCAAGAGATGGCTTGGCACCAAGGTTTTATATGGAAAGTCCCTGTGTGATCATCCCCAGAGGCCAAGGCTATACCACCACAAAACTGCTTAAGGGACTTCAGCTATCCAATAAAGACAGGACCCGGGAAGAGAGGGAACCCATAACCACTAAGGTGTTTCGCTGGGGAATGCCCCACCAGAAATCCTCACTAAACCTTGAAGGCCCACCTCAGAGTGGGGTGATGCCATCTTAGATCTTGGGGTCTAACCAGGATAGTAACCCGTTATGCCTGGAGGAGCAGTAATGCAGGCGTACCCCATTGTGTGCCCAGGGTTCAGGTACCGTGGAACACCAGCCATGGGAAATGAGTAAGGTCGAGTTCTCATGTCAAGGATCACACCAACCACCACTTAACTGCATGGCAACAAGAGAAAGTAAAGGCACCAGAACCCTCAAGCATGTTGCCAACAGACACACGCTTTAAAACACACAAAGCTTGCTCATTCCTAGCCTTCAACCACACTGATGTCACCAGAGCACAGACCTCGCTTGCCTAATAAGCATCAACCTCCCGCTTCTGTAGAAACCGTAGTCAGGCTCATGACTAGATCATTGTTAAAATTACAGGTTTAATGAGCTTTTTGCATCTGGTTCAGCCCTGACTACAAGCATTCCAGGCTTAGGGAGGGGAAAGGTCCCTCTTTCCCATACTGTGATGTAGT